CTCAAATCCTCTACCTATGCAGCTTCGGGATTGCCTGACTAGTAATCATGAATGCATTTAAAAAAAAATTTCTTCCTTTGTTTATTTCTATAAAATTTATTCCTTAATTGCCTTACTTTTTGTTAGAAATAAATTAACTTATTTCTCTTCCTATATAATTGCACTTAGCCTTAAAAATAATATTAAAGGAAGTCACTCTGAAAAAGTTGAAATATAATTAAAATAAGAAAAGGAATTTTACCAAATTCAATGATTTTTTTTTTAATTTTTAGATTTAAGATTTAAAATATATTGACAAATATATGTAATCTTTTCTCTATTTCGGATTTTTAGTGAAGTTATTTATTTGCTGTGTCTTAGCTTGGTTTAGTTGAGTATCTTAAAAGTATTTGTATGTGTATCACCTATTAAATAATATCTGAAGTAAGTTAGCAAAAAGGGAACTATAGGTGAAGGAAAACTGGCATCAACTTAAAAAATTCTCGTTCAAAATTCAAACTTTTTTGTCCATTTAGTTCACTAAGTCAAAATAATATTATTCTAGATCAACATGATGCAGTTTAATATTTAGGAATGATTTTCAATTTATTTTTAATAAGACTCGTGAAAAGACTAAAAGAACATGAAGACTTTTCGCATAAATAGTGCGTTCTAATAAAATAGTTTATATCTTTAATCCACAAACATCATTGAATAAAACAAATTTACTGAGACAGCTATTCTAAAAAATAATTTTATTATTTCAATTAAATATTAAAATCATTTTGTTGGACCTGTAATTAATCTGCTTATATTGTAGTTAAAATGTTTAAAAGTATTATTGACTCTCGACTTTTGTTGTCAACATTAGTCACTTATCAAAGTTATATAAATATATATTTCAATTTTCTCCAATTTCTTAAAAAAAATCTCATCTGAAAATATCCAAATGCAACTTTTATATAACTTGATTTTACTCAACTTGAACAGCATACAACTTTTACAGAGCTGCTCCGTAAATGGCATCCAGAATTTCAAGGTTTAAATCAGGCTGTCAATAATACGTGCTCTGCAGCTAGGAGGAAGTGGTGACAAGTAACTGGAGGGCCATCCCCTGGGAGTAACTCTAAATCTACACCAAAAAGAAAAAAGACAAGTTAATTATTCTCCTTTGATTCAATGAAAGAAATCTTTTCACCTAAAAAATTACTGATAATACTAGTTTGCGTGATCTTTGATGTTTGAAAACATTATTTTATAGCATTATTTTAAATCATTCTCTCAGGCAAGTAAACATGAACTTAATGTTGGTTTTATTTCGATTAGGCATGAAAAACACAAAAAATTGATGTCCTACATTCTTTTATTAAAAGATGATTGATTCTTGATCACATTAAATAAAAGGTTGAAAATGACTTTTTGTTTTTAAAAACCTTACGTGATAGACAATTATTTTCGGAATCAGCATTGAAAATTGGTTTTATTACAATTTCTTTTGCAAAATTGGACTAAAAGTTTAAACAAGCAGGCTAGTGTAATTGAATATATTCAATATTTGTTGAGAAAAAATTTAAGTATCAATATAACAATCCATAATGAAAAATGGTCGGTTGAATTATTGGAAAATTAAGAATTTCAATAAGCGTGTTATTTCTACAGCAGTTTTTATATGCATCTTAGAGAAAAATTATATTTTTTAGATGATAAGTTTAAACAGTCAAAAAAAAAAATTTAAATATACTGACAGGAGAGTTTTGCAGGTCATTATTATTATTTTTATTCATCTGCTGTTACTAAAACCATTTATTTAATCAAAATTGAATAGAAATAATAATAAAATGTGATTTATGCAACGAAATAAGCTCTAAAATATTATTATAATCTTTTAAAATTTGTCATTATCAATGTAAATATGACTCTCGTTAATTCAAACTTTTTATTTATAGGTTCCAATGCTCCAAATAACGTGACCACAGCATTTCAATTTGCAGAAGAAGCAGAGTAATTGTCTTTGAACGAAAAATTAATTATTTTGTTAATAAAAGTTTTTATATGTAAGCTGGTTAAATTATTTAAATTTGCTGTTATTTCGCTTTTGAAAAAAATTAGCACCTTTAACATCTAGCCTATATAAATGAGATCCCACATTTTTTTGTAACAAATGTATCCTCTTTTCACGATAATTTAATTGAACTTATTGAAATTACAGAAACACAACATATTTGAAATGTTCTTTTAAGGTTTACGAGTCAGCATACTTAATATTATTCAACTCTACATGTTAATTCAAGATTAATAAATTTTATGGACTATTTAATTACAAATTAGCACAAGGTTCACAAATTGTAACTTAAAGGTGTTAAGTAAAAATTCCTATTCTGAATTGTGTGAAAAAGAATAAATTCTAATGGGTTTGTATCTTAAAATTAAAGGAAGATAGATTCTTTGTATTACATTTTACTTTTCGTCACACAATACATGGAAATCAGTCGAAAATTCTTTCGAAAGAAAGACTCTACTGTATTCCTCCTATGTGCTTAGAAAATAGTTTCTTAGCATTAGAATTAGCAGCGAAAATCAAGACAGACCGTAGAAAGTTACCTAATGTGTAACATTAAAAACTCCAGAGTGATAAATACAAGTGAAAAGATATATATTTTAGGTTAAAAATTAGCAATCTAAGGTGAAACATTTTAATTATATTTAATTACCTGCATTAGCATAAAAAAATATAACCTGAAGTGAAAAATGGCATATTTTAGTTTGATTGAAAAAATTTCCTTTACAAGAATAAAAACCTATACTTGAGGTTGAAAATAGTACACCTCACGTTAGTAAAAAATCACCTTTCCAACTATCAAAAATTAGACCTGGGGTAGATTTAAAGTAATTTGAAGTGTAAAATGACACACCATAGGTTGAGAAATATATACCTCTTCAAGCATAAAATTAGATACCTGAAGTTGAAAATAATTACCTGAGGCAGAAAAAATTACACCTGAGGTAGATTTATAATAAGCTGAAGTGTAAAATGACACTCCATAGGTTGAAAAATATATACCTCTACAAGCATAAAATTAGATACCTGAGGTTGAAAAATAATTACCTGAGGTAGAACAAAATACACCTGAAGTTGATTTATAATAACCTGAAGTGTGAAATGACACATCTTAGGTTGTTGAGAAAATACTACCACAAGTGTAAAAAAAATATACTTCAAGCTGATAAGTAATAACCTAAGGTTGAAAATGAAACACTTTAAAGTACTAGTAAATATCTACCTCTCCACAGATGTAAAATTAAACACCTCAGGTTGAAACATATACAGTCAATTCGCTATAACTCGAAGTACGATAACTCGAATATTACTATAACTCGATTTTTTTATGAGGTCCCGACCCTTTTATCTTCAATTTCATGTTAATTATTCTCGATTACTCGAATTTTACTCCCTTTAACTCGATTTTTTTGGATCTTTTAAAGCAAGAAAAAAAAACCTTGGAGCTGATATCTTGCCCCTTTCTTTGCAAAACACACACAATGTCTTTCGCACTCTTCATGGAGAAGCTAAAGCTGTCCCTCTTGAAGTATGTGAACAGAAGTTAAATGAAACGTTACCAAATTTACTTCAAGGATACAGTGAAAATGATCTTTTCAATATTGATGAAATGGGTTTATTTTTTAAATGTCTTCCAAATAAGACTATGATGTTTAAGGATGAAAACTGCTCAGGGGGGCAAAATGTGCAAGGAACGTTTGACTGTCCTAGTTGAACGAAATGCGTCTGGGACAGAGAAATTGCCCTTACTTGTTATCGGAAAGTACCGAAATCCCCGATGTTTCAAGAATGTAAAAACGTATCCTTTGGATTACAAGTCTAACAAAAAGTTTTGGATGACATCAGTTTTATTTGAAGACTATGTAAGAAAATTGGATCGGAAATTCTTCGCTAAAAAAAAGAAAAGTGATTCTCCTAATGGATAAATGCACAGCGCATAGTGATCTACCTAATTTGAAAGCAGTAAACTTGCAGTTTCTCCCGCCAAACACAGCAGCAAAGTTGCAGCCGACGGACCAGGGTATCATAAAGTGCTTCAAACAGTCTTATCGTAAATGGCTTGTCAGAAAAATTATCTTAATATTGTAAGCATTTAGAAGATTTGTAATTAATAAGCATTAATTAAATAATCCNAGGCTGATAAGTAGTAACCTAAGGTTGAAAATGAAGCACTTTAAAGTAGTAAATATCTACCTCTCCACAGATGTAAAATTAAACACCTCAGGTTGAAACATATATAACTCTGGAGGTATATTCAAGGTATATTTGAGGATGATTATGAGGTATTCATTTGCACCCTTTTCAACCTTAACGACGCATTTAAATAACAACCTTCTTTATACCTTTAAAATATACCTCGTTTATACCTCATTTATACCTTGATTTTTTCATAAGGGGTCTCTCAGAAGTGTAGGGGGGCTCTCCTCTCCTCCCCACACTGTATATATATATATAGATATTATTGTTATTATTTGCCGGATTCGAATTATCTGAACCTCACAAAATGGCAATCAAGAATTCGAACTTCATAATTCGAATTGTCTTAAAAATAAACTAAAATTAAAAAAGAAAACAATAAGATCATGTATTCCGTCTGCAGGGAGGAATGATTAAGGAAGATAATGAGTAAGGAATGATATGATAGCAGTTTTCACTAAGGAAATGTTAAAGCTCGCTTGAAATGGACATTTTTTAGAATAAAGATGCAAAAAAATTATCTATTTTTTTTAATTGAACATTTAATTACGCAAATATCGTGTAAAAAATTGTAATGTTTGAAGGGGCCATTGTCATTTATAAAATGTGCCTGGCCTGCAAAAGGAGTGCGTCCTCGTTAAACTGCTCCACTCTTAAGTGATCGACGGCCTACCACTATTCGTCTCAATAAAAAGTTGAAAACGTTTCATTTTTTCACTTAAATATTTATTTCATTCGCAATTTTAGAAATTTGTATTCTCTTCAGGTGACTTTGCTGAGTGCTGAAACTGGAGAGATGATCGAAACAAAAACTATTCCTCATCTTGAATTAACAGAAGCTATGCTTATTCATGGAGAAAAATCTGATTTTATATTAGGACTTAAAAAGAAGGTAATAAAAAGATCTTTTGGAAATATAATGAAAATAAATCATTTCTTATAACATATTTCTATGGCAAATGGCCTTTGACAATGTGTGTTTGAAAATTATTGTCTACCAATTTTTCTTTCATTGATAAAGAAATCTTTTTCCTTCATTACTACCCTTAATATATATTTTTAGAATCTTTATGAAAAGCGAAAAAGTATACTCATTGAATTTTTCAAACTAATAAAGCGAAGAAAAACGAAAATGCTATTAAGATCTAACAAATCACAATTGCGGAAGGGACATTTAATCAAAACAGGTATAATTGAATCCAACAATCAAACCAGTCTTCTTTAACAGCTTCTGTTAAATATTAATTTCTTATTTAATTCTAAAAACAAATATTAATGGACACTCTTTATAACATGACAGTGTGTTTAAAAACTACTTAAAAGCTTTTTAAGGGTGCTTTTTTCATTGGATGACGTCCTTAAACGTTCCCATTTCCAAAATGTTTAATCATGTTGGTTTTTGTCACGAATAATGACGTTGTTTTCACACAATTCTATTCAATATCTTCGCAATTCATTCAAGCACAAGAAAAATTCCTAATTATATTTTGGGAGATTTTCGTATCGTGATCAGACTAATTGTCAGGTCTTGGCAACTTTCAGACAGCAACCCGCGAGAAATGAAAATAAAAAAAAATATCACACAAAGTGACCAACTCTAACTGTATCAGCCCCCAGGCAAACATCTAAATGTTTTTTTTTTTTTTAAAGAATTGCAAGTTTAAAATCTATTTGGCACCTTGGCGATTGAAGTTGGCTTGACAGATCACAATACAGAAATGTCCCATCATATTTTTTTTAAAAATAAAGAATTTAAGAATATTTCTGAGTGCTTGAAAAGTTCTCTTAAGTAGTGTTTATTTTTTATTCACCCTGCATGAGTTTTTAATTTTTTCCATGTGTGGCAGATTTCTGTAAATTGAACCCATTAAGGACAATTCTTTGACAAACAAATCCCTAAGAGAAGCTCTTTTTGGGAATAAATTTTTGATATCTAATATGTTTTTTCTAGCCCTGTGAAAGTCTGAAAAGTCAAATTTCTGCATCTGTAGTAAATATTTTGACAAATAAAGAAGTAATTCCAACAAGAATAACTGAAGAGATTACACTAATGGAAATGGACGGGAATGATCTGAAAACAATACTATCTCAACAGTTGGATTACGACAAAAGTAAAATGTTATTATCTAAATAGAATGAATGCTGAAATCCACTCTAAACAGTATTTTGTTTATTTCCTCAGTTTTTACAAATTTTTTCACTTGGAGTACTCAACTGCTTAAAATCCTATAAAATTAAAATTTGTTTTTTTTTGTATGGATGGTTGACCCTGTAAGCACAGATGAGCGTTAAAATTCATTACTAAGCGTTAACTTCCACTACTTCCGATTGATTTTTGCTCCCAAGCTTGATAAAACAAGCCATTCAATATTATTATACTTTTTATTTTATTTTATAACCGTTGAACAGCAGACCCAATTTTTTGGGTTTACAATTACTAATGTTCAACTCCGTATCCTTGTCATTTTGAACCCAATCCAGAAGACAAGGGAGCTCCTGGATCAAGTATTGGGAGAAATTTGCCTTCTTGGAGGACTTTTTAATGGAACTAACCCGCATTTGCGCCGCATGGAGAGGAAAACCACGGAAACCTCCCATGGTTAGTCTGATGACGGGGTACTCTAACCCATGATCCGTCGGTGCAAGCCGGATGAGGAATTCGTATCGACCTGCCATCGCTGGGATTCGAACCCGTTTTACCTCATTGGAAGGCTCTATTTCCTGAGCCATCACGGCTCACATTATTACACTTGCAGTGTTCACAATATTACACGTTCTTTCAATTTATTTTGCAATGAAACAAATATCAAATGATTTCGGCCACAAGCATGCTACTCAGAAAATGACATCTATTTTAAACTATTATAGCCAAATAATGGATAACACCCAAACTGTTATTTATGTCGTAATATTCTTAAATTTGTTTTAGGCTCTATTAGAATTTATAAATTGCAGAAAACACTTAGGAATGATAAAATTTTGCGTAAATTTGAACAAATATCACAATAATGTAAACACATTGCCTTATAACATTAGCGGAGGGATACACTGGAAGTTTTCATATTATTATTTACATTTAGTCAAGTTACTTAGTTTATTTGAAAGATATTTTTTTGTACTTCATTTCTCTAAATCTAGAATGAAAGTGCGTATTTGATTGTTGTGTCGATTGATTTGATTGGATTAAAAGTTGTTTCAAGTCATGATTTTTATGAAATTTATAGTGCACAACATACAAATTTTTTCCCCTTCAAGTTTTAGCTCTAAAGAAAATTATGAAAATTTTTTCACTAAAGTGTTTACATTTAATTAATGTTTGTGTTAAATTCTTGTAAAAAATTCAGAAGTTGAATTTTAGATAAGGTATAAAAAAAACTGATACTTTCTCGATGAAATCAAATCCACCCTTTGTATTAACTAATAGAAAGAAAAAAATTTTCTTTTTTATGAACATCATGTTTGCTTAATACAGCGTAAAAATTATTGAGCAATAAAATTTTCAAAACTAATTGATGTCTATTTATTTTTGTAGATAGGGTTTATAGAAAATTCAGATTGAACATTTAAAAGCGATATTTGAGTTAAAATGTAGCATTTTAATGTAATATAATTTTATAGTATGTGAGGAAAGCTCTTTCGATAATGCCAACCTTCATCTATCATAAGTTATTCCAAGATTGATTCGAGTTAGCATGTCTCATATACTAGTGAATTGATGTTTAATAATTGTAGTGGTAGTTACGCCCAATACTTCCCCACCAGAATTTTATCATGGATGGAATTTGGTGAACCACTAGATGCCGTATTTGCGAAAGACCGGGAAATCTGTCTTCCCAGCGAGCCTGACTGAATAGTCGTAATAGGTTTGAAACCATATTATATTAAAAACTTATTCAGAAAATACATTAAAACAGTGTTCCTCATTGTACAGAGCTCTAAAAAAATGAAAAACACCCTGAATAGCTTTTGATTTAATCATTGGATCTTCACGTACTAAAATTCAAATGGTTTAAAAGGGTGATCTCAAATATCCTTATTAACACTAGATTGCTCAAGGAAGTCATTTTGACTGCTTTTAATTTCAATTAGAAAAACAATGATGTATATAATGACACAATTTCTTAGAACTTTTTACAAAATATAATTTTTTGATTGTGAATATTTACTAGTAACTTGTTATATAACTGTAAACATAATATAAAAAATATTAAAAATTAATTTTAAACAAATTTCTTTACACATTATTTATACTTTTACAATCCAGTCATTTTGACTGCTTTTGGGCAATATAGATATATACTAAGTTTCAGTCTTTCCCCTTTCTAGTGTTAATTAATGCAGATGATATTTTAAAAAAGTCGCATATTTCAAATTTGATTTCTCAGGAATATTTGAAAGATTTCGTTTAGTTTTTGTACTTCGCCATGCGAACTTACATTCTTTAAAATGATGTAAAATTCAAAAAACTATCATAGCCATGGAAATCACTTTTAATAACTATAGTTCTCAGCCTAATGCAAATGCAGAGTTAAGAAATTTGAGCCTTACCTGTAAAATGTTCCTTAACACTAGAAAGCACTTAACACTTAGTATATAGGGGCGAGGGGGGCACATGTGAACAAATTTTTTAATTTCTTCATTTTTCAAAAAATATCATCAATTTCTCACAGTAAAGAAGTCCATATGTTTAAATAATCTTTTCTTTTGTCTTATGGAATTTTTTGAGATTTTTCAATAAAATATTTCTTTACTTTATGATATTTTAGAAAAATGACTTCAATTGTTCACATGTGCCCCTATGGGGGGCACATTTGAACAAGATTAAAAACACAAACCAATCATCATATTTAAAAGAAAAAGATCTTTAATATAACAGATATAGATACACATTATACTGAAGGGGTTGTAGCTTACTATGTGGATTTATTGGGTTTATTTGTTTATGTGAATTTATAGAATTTATTGGGTTAATTTCGTCAATTGGGTTTTTCGCAACTTCATGTTCCTCAGGAGTTGTAATGGGCCTTTTTCTTTCTTCTCTGATACTCTTTCATGCTTTTTTCCCATTTTCATTCAAAACTTAGAAAACAACGCAGCATAAAGAATATTTAATTAAATAAGGATTATTTTTACATATATTGCTTTTGCAAAATAGGTTTTTTACTAAGAATAATAATATATATTAAAAATTATTTTAAACTTAACTTTTTAAGTAATAAAATTTTATATCTTTTTGCTTTTTGTAATCATTATACAACACAAAATTGTTGACCAACCTTTTAATGAAAAAAAAATTTAAAAGAGAAAATTAACAAGTAATTAATTAATTATGGAAAATTAAATAATAATAATTTTAAATGCATACATACTTTTTAAACTTGTATTAATTATGGAAAATTAAAAATTAATAATGGAAAATTAAATAATAATAATTTTAAATGCATACATATTTTTTAAACTTATAATATCATGAAGATAATAATCTTAATGTTATGTAGGGGCACATGTAAACTGTTCACATACCCCAGATGTTTTGTTCACAAGTGCCCCATCATCTTTCTTAAACCTAACTTGAAAAATAAAGAATTTTTAATTGAGTAAGAAAAAAAATTGTCATAAACTTACCTGAATGTTCATATAATGGTCTGCAATAGTTAATTTTAGCTTATTAGTTGATTTATACTATGTTTTCACTTGAAATAGCAAGTGATAAAAGTATATACAACATCAGCTGATACAAAGAAATTGTCAGAATAGAACAACAAAATGACTCATTGTTCTGAAAGTTTTGCAGAGAGGTAGGACTAATACTAGCATCTATTGAAAATTTTTCAAGATTTTTTATTTCGAATCATATTGGTAAGACATACCATGTTCACATGCACACCCTGTTCACATGTGCCCCCCTCTACCCTACCTATATTGCCCAAAAGCAGTCAAAATGACTGGATTGTAAAAGTATAAATAATGTGTAAAGAAATTTGTTTAAAATTAATTTTTAATATTTTTTTTACTATTAACAGTTATATAGCAAGTTATTAGTAAATATTAACAATAAAAAATTATATGTTGTACAAAATTCTAAGAAATTGTGTCATTATATACATCATTGTTTTCCTAATTGAAATTAAAAGCAGTCAAAATGACTTCCTTAGGCACTCTAGTGTTAGAGAATATGCCTCTAAAAATAGAAAGAAAATACTCCTACGAAAAATGACTTTGTATGTTAAATAAAAAAATCGAGCAAAAACTAAATTCTAAAGACATATATGTTAGCAAAAACAGCACTTGATCAGGGGATACACTGTCTGCTAACGCACTTTCTTTAGTCAGCGTTTAAACCAAAAGCCTCGTAATGGATAAACTAAATAAGAAAATCTACTCAAAAATTCAATGATACATCTTTATTTCAATATTTGAATTTTTGATTGCATTTTCTTATTTAGTTTATCCATTATGGAGCTCATACTTATCTTTAGAATTTAGTTTTTGCTTGTTTTTGGCTTTTAACTTTTTATTTAAATTGTTTACATCAGATAAATTTGGTTTTAGCTCTTTTCTATTTTGACTTATTATTTTATAGTTCTTTTTCTCAAAATTTGCTTTAATCAAATTTATACTTTAATTGTATGAAATTCTGGAAGTGAAGTATGAAATTGATGAATTATGAAATGTAACAAAATACATACGTATTAAGGCAGAGTAAGCGGGCATACTTTATTTCTGTTTAACACTGGAAAGACTGAAACTTAGTATATACCTATATTTCCCAAAAGCAGTCAAAATGACCGGATTGTAAAAGTATAAATAATGTGTAAAGAAATTTGTTTAAAATTAATTTTTAATATTTTTTATACTATATTTACAGTTATATAACAAGTTACTAGTAAATATTCACAATCAAAAAATTATATTTTGTACAAAATTCTAAGAAATTGTGTCATTATATGCATCATTGTTTTTCTAATTGAAATTATAAGCAGTCAAAATGACTTCCTTGGGCAATTTAGTGTTAATATTTTAATAATAAACAGAAATAAAGCTAAAACGAGGATAAAAGGTACAAAGATTTAGCAAAAAATTTTAATTATAATTTTTGTTAAAATAATTTTAAAATTTCCTAAAGAACATTAAATAAGTCAAATTAAATGTTTAAAAGTTAAGCATAAAATGTATGGCTCGTTAAACAATGTTTAAAATTTTCATAAATTATGTAAGTCAAGCTACTAAACAGCAAAATCAGTAATAGATAAATAGAAAAATTTCATTCATCTTAAGGGTACACTTGTTTCCCTCTAGTTCCACCCTGATGATTTTTAAAAGGCATAGAATTTTGATTGCAAATGGTGTAGATAAAAGAAAAATGTTTGCAAGCAAGGAATTCTCCCTTGTCAAAGAACTTTCCTTAAAAGGAAATTATATCTCATGGTAATTTTTTATAAATGGTCCAGAAGTAAACTGTTATAGAGCTATTGGTAAAGCTCTGATATTTTAATTTATTAGATCATATTCTAATACATTTCTGTTTTCATTTCAGGTGAATTATATGCATCCAGTTTCACAGGTAATTTCTTATACATGCTGTTGTTATTGTTACTACCACATCAGCAAACCTGCTATAGCAAATTTTAAGGCAGAGGGTGCCATCTATGGCCAATACACACACACGTCACAGTCCGTTTTACAGAGAGAATCCATTCATACTTCATTCACAGATCGTAATTTTGACCTGAACTAGAGAATTATCAATCTCCAAATCAGTACCCAAAGAGGTACTGATTTGTTATAAGAATATAGAGGACTTGGTGACTTTGACAGATTTAACGTGCACCAGTCACCATTTAATACGCTTTCTTTTGACTGGCAGAACTCGAAATCATGCTGTCGAGAGCACGAGCCCAACGTCCCACCGATCAGAGTATCACGTCATAATACATAATTATATTTAATTTTATAACTAATTTGAGCCGTGATGTCTCAATCTTATAAGGCGTTCGCTTTTCAATGAGATGAACCGGGTTCGAATTCTGCATGCAGCTTGCACCGACCATAGTGCTGACGTAAAACATTCTCAGTCATAGACGGATCATACGTTTAAGTCCCCTTGCAGTCAGCCTAGCTGTGAGAGGTTTTCATGGTTTTCCTCTCCATGCAACGCAAATGCGGGTTAGTTCCCTCAAACAGCCCTCCATGAAGGCAAATTTCTCCCAATACTTGATCCAAGAGTTCTCTTGTCCTCTGGATTGGGTTCAAAATTACAAGGCTACGGATTTGAACATTAGTAGTCGTGAACCCAAAAAAATTGGGCCGGCTGTTCAACTACGGTTATAATCTATAAATAATTTAATAATTAATATTAGTATTTTGTTTTATTTTATTGATGCTTATAACAATCATATATATAACCAAAAGCATTTAATAAAATAAAATAAAGAAAGAAATCAGTGGTTACTAACTGTCAGATGAGGGAAATCACGTGGTCTGTGGTGCAAAAAGGAAAACCATCATTCCTAGTCATTAGGCCTGTTTGCTTGATCCAAGTTCTTGAATCTGAGAGGAATTTCTCTCTCCAAGAAATTGGATGATTCGTCGACACTATCCAAGTTCTTGAATGTCGCTGATTGGTTGGATGAAAATCCTGCCTTCATATTCAACATAATAAAATCATACTTACATTAATTTAATGAATAAATTCAACTAAAGTCATAACATCACAAATAGACACTAACGGATTAATTTATTAGGTTTAAAATTTATGAAAACGTACAACAAAATGACATAATATGATGCCTGCTTCTTTGACGTCGCAAAACTTTAGAAGCTGATTGGTGGAGGAAGGAAAAACTTGGATGGAAAGTAGAACATGCTCTACTATGATCCAAGAACTTCCGAACAAAACAAGTTTCCATCAATTTCTATCAATCTTTGTCCAAGAACTTGGATCGTATAAACAGGCCTTTTAGTTTGTGATAGTCAGTTGTAATTGCCATTTCTTCAGAGTGGTAGTAGGATGAAGATTTCAGAACAAATCAATAGAGTGGACACCCATAAATTTATAGAAAATATCAATTTATATGAGCAATAAAGATTTTTTAAAACTAATATGAGGTGAAGAACAATCTTCATCAAACATGATTTCATTAGTTTTGAAATATCATAAAATATTCTGCATTTGAACGCATGTAAAACGAATGATTATAGGGATGTCCAAGCCAGAGACTGAACTATATCACTTGAGTAGAATAAATCAATCAACTGAAGCAATTTAATTCTTTTTGGTATTGGACGACCGCATTTCTGATATCTATCTATCTATCTATCTATCTATCTATCTATCTATCTATATATCTANATATATATATATATATCCAGGGGGCAGAGGACAGCCTCCCCACTTTTGAGATACTTTGGTCGCTGATTCTTAGAAAGCGTGACGTCTTAGACTTGAGGGGGAGAAAACCTCTCATATTAAGTTGAGGACAACTAAGACATAAATCAACTAAACATTTACTAACAACTGAAACATAACAAGATAAAACAGAAACATAAAGTTAAGTATGAGTGTGCACAGAGTTGGATGCTGGATATGTGGAAAATCTCACCAACTGATTCATCGATTCTGGGTAGACATATGCTTGGAAATCATATGTTCAAAAAAGTTTTGAAGTAAATTCTAAAAAAGTTCAGTTCATCTTTGGAGTAGGGCTTGAGTTGTGGTGAGGTGATCATTATTGAGATGGAGAGACCCCATTAAGTAGAGATTGAAGTAGGCTTGCAACTTCTTAATTTTTAAGGAGCTCCTGCAATTCTTTCACTAGTGAAACTAAACAATGGGCTGTAGATGCAGGCGTATCCTTGGTCGGTGGTCTTTTTCGACTGGGGCGGGCCTCGCACCCAGTGAAACTAGAGGTGTGGTTCCCCTCGCAGTTACAGCATTTGGCGGGAGAAGTTCTGTCCTTTTCGCATTGGTATGAATAGTGGAAATCTGCACACTTCATGCATCAGCTGGTTGGTTCAGGGACGTTGAGTATGGCCGAAGCCCTGGCATCGGAAACACTGTAGCGGGCGCCGGCTGCCACGGAACCTCTCGGTGCTAATAGGAATCTGCTTGATACTCGAGATGGAATAAACCTTCTGCTGATTGGCCAGTGGAGTGATGATGAGGAAAAGGGGGAGGAGCCTATAGGCTCCACCTACCCTCTTCTTAAATTGGATGACTCTATGGGAATTGATGTCTAATTTCTCCATTTCTAGAGAAATATCTTCAATTTTTAAATCATCTGGAAGCCCTCGGATGAGAATTTTTGCTGAATTGAGTGGGCTCAGGCACTGGGAGGGAAAATGGAGTAGAAGTGCTGTTAGTAGTCTTAGTAGTGGTTCCTTGGGCTTGCTTCTTCTTCTTTTTTCTCCTCTTGGCCGGTGGTTCTTTATTGTTTTGGATTTGGGACTCTGTTTCTGAGGCCGAAACCTCTTCACTATGCTCCAAGTTGTTCTCATTTGCTGGTTTCCGGTGCTGGAACATTCGTTTCAGGAGTTGTTTCTATTTCTGAGGATTCCTTCATCGTTTCAGGTTGGGTTGGAATGGCTGTTTCCATAGGCATAATTTCTTTATCAGGTTCCTCGGGGAATAGATTATTTCTTCTGATTTCGAGAGATCTCACTTGAAATTCCCAGATGTAAGGTGGCTTCTGTCTCTCTCTTATTTGCCATTGCACTGCAGCTTTACTTCTTTCAATTTTACTATCAATGGATTCTTTAGTGACACACGTGCTAGCAAAGTCAGAGCAGTACTCCAAACGCTCTTCGTCTGTTTCCAGCAGTTCGAATTCTTCACGGGGAGTGAGTTGCCGCACTGGCCTTTCGGCTCGCCGCTTCCCACCCCGGGTGAAACGTTGATAAGACATGGTACGCACTGAGCTAGTTTCAACACAACCGCACTCTGCAAAGGCTTGAGTAGATTTTCTCGCTCTGTGCACAGAGTTGCTGGATGCTGGATATGCATGGAAACTCAGTGTTTGGCTCGAAGCGCCACTTACTGATTCATCTTATTCTTTTAGACATATACTGTAAAGACATAAAATATAAAAGCACAGGAAAAAACAGTTATTAAATGTAAGAGGTGAGTTTGGAGATATCTCCACTGTCAAGGATGATGTTGAGCACTTTAAAATTAAATTACAATGTTAAATAATAATAAAATAATGAGTTAACAGTTAGCAACTATATACAAAAAATGGGATGAGCAGGTAGAAAATGGTAGAAAATTATTTACAATATATACAAAAGGGTTGAAAATGATTTACAAAAAATATATGTATTTTGAAGTGTTCCTCTGAGAGCACAGCGACCCGGCCGTCCCGGTGATTACCGCTTGTACCGGGTTGCTCGCTGTGTAAGTTAACAGGAATGTGGCCCACCCAGTTGGGACCCTTTCGGGTTGCTCCTTCCCCGAGCGTGACACATCCTGGTGTTATGATTAGTGTGTGTTTGTGTTGTTTGTGTTTTTAAAATACTTAGACATAATACAATCAGAGCTTAAGAAAGCTGTAATTGGGCTGTAGCTGACATTATCCTTAATAATATCTATGTTTAGTAATAGGTTAAAGTCCGAGGTCATACATTTCGTAGCGTCACTAAAGAACTTTGTATTTAGTTTAGCAATAAATTCGTTACTATTATCAATGTTAAGGTCTTTCCTAAGGGAGTCATTGCTAATTGCATTTGGGGCGCCTAGCATAAGTCTTGGAATTTTACCCTCCGTATTGGATAACATTTTTTTCAAATTATTAGTCATAGTATTTAGGGCTGGGCATGCATACGTGAGTATTGGTCTTATGGCTTGTATGTAAATTAGTCTTTTATTCGCCAAATTGAGTTGTGAATATTTGCCTAGAATTGGGCTTAGTCCAAAATAAGCACCTTTTGCTTTTTTGTTGATATCGTTTACATGTGTACTCCAGCTTAAGTTTTGGTTTATCGTAACACCTAGGTATTTAACTTTGTTAACTGGTTTGATAGTGGTGCTAAATAAGTTGATACTGTGATTGAGCTGTTTTTTATTATTAAAAATAATTTACTGGCTTTTATCTGGGTGGAGTTTGATCTTCCATTTAAGACACCATTCCTCAACGTGTACTAATTTCATTTGGAGCAATTCAACCGCTCTTTTGGAGCTCATTGATCTAGTGATTATTGCGGTATCATCCGCATATAGGGGGACCATTTCATTTAAATTGCTATTGTCTATGGGGAAATCGTACGTATATAATATATGTAGTGTGGGCCCTAAGATCGAACCTTGTGGGATGCCAGCATTAACTTGTTTATAATCTGAGTAGACGTTGTTTAGTTTAATCCTAAAGTACCTGTTGTTCAGGTAAGAGTCAAGAATATGTAGAATATCACTGGGGAAATTCATATAATGAAGTTTGACTATTAAGCCCTCATGCCATACTCGATCGAACGCTTTCGCGACGTCGAGCAGGATAAGGGCCATAGTTTCCTTCTCAAATTTACCATTGCTGATGAATTCTAGAATATTTATAAGTTGTTTAGTAGTAGATA